CATAAGGCCCTGAGTTCAATCTCCATTACCAAAAACAAACAAACAAACAAAGGATATAGGTTCTATACCAGGGTTTGAGAATACTACCATGAAGAAGACAGATAAAAGCCCTTCCTTGATGGACCTTACACTGCAAAAGTCTAGGCAACAAATGCTGATGGTTTAAACCACGGTGGCAGTGATGAGAATGAAAAAAATGTGAATTAGTTTGCTAGGGCTTCTGTAACAGAGTGCACAGATTAGGTGGTACAGAAACTTGTTTTCTCACAGTCTGGAAACTAGAGATCTGAGATTATGGTTGGTTTCTTTTGAGGCCTCTCTCCTTGGCTCATAGATCGCCATCTTGTCTCTTCACATGGCCTTCCATCTGTGTCCCTGCCCTAATCTCCTGTAAGGACCCTAGTGACATTTAAAGACCCTATTTTTCAAATATAGTTATATTTAAGGTAGTGGGGGTTAGAACTTCAACATACAAATTGGAGTGAGGGAACACAATTCAGGAATAATAAGAAATGAGCCACGTGTGGTGGTCCGTGCCTATAGTTTCAGCTACTCAAAAGGCTAAGGCAAGGAGATCATTTGAGCCATGAGTTTGAGATCAGCCTGAGCAACAGAGGACGACCTCGTTTCAAAAACAGAACTTTTTTTTTTTTAAAGAGAGAGAATTTTTTAATATTTATTTTTTAGTTTTCGGTGGACACAACATCTTTATTTATTTTATTTTTATGTGGTGCTAAGGATCATACCCAGTGCCTCGCACATGCCAGGCGAGCGCACTACCGCTTGAGCCACATCCCCAGCCCCAGAACTTTTTTTTTAAGGAGAGAAAATAAATAGTAACTAGTGATTATGGGGTAGGGGTTAGAAGAAGATGACAAGGGGCTAGGATTGTGGTCCTAGCATGTCCTCAGCACCACATAAAAATAAAAAAATAAAATAAAGGTGCTGTGTCCAATTACAACTAAAAAATAATTTTTTTTTTTTTTTAAAAAGAAGATGTCAGTGATGGGTCTCAGGTTTCTGGCATGTAAAATAGTGGAAAGTGGTGCTATTATTTATTTGATAAGGAAATAAATAAATAGTAGAAAATTGCAGGAAAGAGCATCAGGATCCATTTCCTCTTTTTCATTACTTATCGTCCTTTAAGGGGTCTTAAAGCAATGTACAAAAATGCATTGGTTTGGCACCTGGGGCTGTGGCCCCAGTGATAGAGCTCACCTAGCATGTGTGAGGCACTGAGTTTGATCCTCAGCACCACATAAAAATAATACAGATATTGTGTCCACCTAAAAACTAAAAAGTAAATATTAAAAAATAATGCCTGGTATGGGCTGGGGTTGTGGCTTAGTGGTAGAGCACTGTGAGGCACTGGGTTTGATCTTCAGCACCACATAAACATAAATAAATAAAATCAAGTTTTTTTTTTTTTTTTAAATGCATTGGTTTGGGCTGGGGTTGTAACTAAGTGGTAGAGCTTGCCTTATAAGCATGAGGCACTGGGTTCGATTCTCAGCACCACATAAATATAAAATAAAGATATTGTGTCCACCTAAAACTAAAAAATAAATATTAAAAAAAGGAAAAAAATGCATTGGTTTGAGCAGCAGCATATCAGAATATTTATTGATGCATAGTATCCAGTATGCCTGGAGAGAGTGGATCAAACATGCAATTCTGAATTAAGAGAAATTTCACGGAGGGAGGATAGGAAAAGAAGAATTGAAAGGGGGTTGAAATGGAGCAAATTATATTCCACACATGTATGATTACATCAAAATGAATGCCAATATTATATATAACTATAATACACTAATAAAAACATTTAAAAAGAAATTTTTTAAATAATTTTTTCAGCGAAACTTTTCTTACTCATTTCCCAATCCCACACTCCTATTAATATGAGAGAAATCATTTGCCTGAGGCTATGAAGACAGAAGCCAGAGTAGAACAAGTATAATGGTAACGAAAGAATAAGAAATGATGAAGATTTGACAGCATGGCCCAGGCTGGACGGACATATGAAGCCTGCAAATTGTCATTGGGGTAATCTTACAGAGATAGATTGATGATAGAGAAAGGAACATTTATGGTTAAAAAAAAAATGTATCTGAGGATAAGGAAGGAATGACTTCAGAGCACAATGGAAGGATAAGTAAAAGCCATCTCCTCCACTAGAACAAAAGGGAAGGAGAAGGGACAGATGTAGGCAGGTCTATAGATTTAGCAGTAAAAAATTGAAGGAGTTATGTAAAATCCACATGAGGTCAGAGTGAAATAGAAAGTGTTGATCAGATTGGCTGAAAGGACAAATAGGTAACTGTGGTCAGAGTATGGATTTCTAGATTCAAGATTTCAGAACAGTTTGAATGACAAGGTGAAACCAATTGAGGGGGCTAAGATACAGCTGAGATCATTGGTATTAAGAAGTCAAATAAATGAGAGTTCAAGGTGTTAAATGATGTTTCCCTTATGATGTTTCTTGTGGTAAGTAATGGAGACCCCAGCTTCAGTTGACTTAAACATAAGGGAATATACTAGCTCACATACCTGGAATTCCAAAAACAAAGTGGGATTTGAAGTTGACTCCAACTGTTTCACGGACATTTTCTCAGTATTTGCTCCCTACATGTGTTGCCATCATCCTCAGTTGGATAGAAAGTAAAAATCCAGAAGTAGAACAAGTGAGACTTCTGAATTTCTAAAATATTAATTTGAATTATGAATCAATCCAAGTCGTGCATTGTTATCCGAACATATTTATCCAAAAGTTCCTTTTCTGGGGAAATTCGTAGGTCACCTCAGTCTCAGCAAGGGTTATTGAGCACACTATTCCCTATAAATGTCAAAATCCACAAATTTTTAAGTTCCTTATATAAAATGGCTTATGATTTGCATATAAGATAGGCACATCTTTCTGGGACATGTAGGTATGGTAGTTGACTGTATATTGTCAATGACAAAAAGGAATGCAGACATAAGACTGCTAAAAAACTAGTTAATGACTTAAAGGCAATAAAGTCTTAACCTTTGAGGTTGTCTTCACTTTGAGAAACAAATCATTTGCATATTATAGTTTTCTACAAGTTAACATCTGTCTCTACAGAGTAAACTCTAAACAGTAAATATTTGATCAAATTAAGTTATATTATTTTGAAAAGTCAGATAACCCATTAGGCAGAATTGTTACAACAATACATAAAATGATGTTAAAAGTTTTGAACAAATTTTCTTAGCACTTGTTATTATTTTTTTTAAATGTTTATTTTTTAGTTGTAGTTGGATACAATATTTTTATTTATTTATTTTTATGTGGTAAGAATTGAACTCAGGGCCTTGCACGTGCTTGGCGAGCGCTCTATCACTGAGCCACAACCCCAGCCCCTTATTATTACTTTTAGAAAAACAAGTTCTGAGAAATAATGTTCACATGTACATTCATGGAGATGGGAAAAGTTTCATTATTGCAATGACATTAAATTCTTTGAACTCTTTTATGCCCCCAAATCAGTGGTCTAATATTAAAAAACATATCCCTTGATAATTAAATTAGGTCCTCTTTCAACAACATTGTAAACAAAGAAATATAAAGCATCCAATTTGCAAGAAAATTTGTTACTTGTTCAATAGAGGCATTCTAAGTATATCACAAAAACTTAACTAAATACTTATTAACTACATCTCAGACTTTTTCACTTGCCTTAGAAGTACCTTGTATAACCCAAATTCCTCAGAAAGATCCAAGAAAATCTTTATAGACATAATATGCTTTGATAAAATGTATTTACATTTTGTGCTTTAAGCAAATTTTAATCAAACATTTGGCTTTATTTCAATTTATTAGGCAGTCTTACGTATTACCTAAGTAGCCAACCACTTTTCACTGTTTAATCAATTTAAATCAGACTGTCTCTAAGAACAACTTGATTTTAGAAAGTTGGAATAAGCAGGGTTAAAAAAAAATTTATTTACTTTGCAGTACTAGGGATTGAACCAAGGCCTTGCATATGCTAGGCAATCGCTCTACCACTGAACTACATCCCTAGACTTGAATGAGTATTTTAAAGTCAAATGTATAAATTACATGATAAAATGCTCACGTTTACAGTTCAATGAATTTGCACAGTGTGTACACCTGTGTAGCCATGTCATCACCATAGAAACTTCCTCCTGTGCCTTTACAGTCAATCCATCTTCCGGCCCATTCCCCCAATGCCAGATGTGCACTCTCACACTATTGATAAGTTCTGCCTCTTTTATAACTTCATATAAATATATATTTTTTAAAGAAATATTTATTTATTTATTTTTAGTTGTAGTTGGACACAATACTTTTATTTTATTTATTTTTATGTGGTGCTGAGAATCGAACCCAGGGCCTTGCACATGCTAGGCAAGCGCTCTACCTCTAAGCCACAACCCCAGCCCCATAAATATACTTTTTTTGGGTACCAGATTGAATCCAAGTGTGCTTAACCACTGAGCCATATCCCCAGTCCTTTGTTCTGAGACAGGATCTCCCGAAGTTGCTTAGGGCCTTGTTAAGTTGCCAAGGCTGGCTTTGAACTTGTGACTCTCCTGCCTCAGCCTCCCAAGCTGCTGACCTTTGTTTTTACTTGCCTTTCTTTCTTTTCTTTTTTTTTGTAGCAAGACCCCATGTCAAAAAACCCCAAAAAACAAAAAACAAGTGTAAGAGAAGAGCACTGGCTTTAGGACATGGATGGTGAAAGAGCAGGAGTCCTTGGTTAGGACTCCTAGAGCAGGCCCTCAAGGTTAGTTTTCTTTTCTTTTTTTTAACATTTACTTTTTAGAAGTAGTTGGACACAATACCTTTATTTATTTATTTTTATGTGGTGCTAAGGATCGAGCCCAGGGCCTTGCACGTGCTACACTAGCGCTCTACTGCTGAGCCACAATCCCAGCCCAAGGTTAGTTTTCTTCCTGAAGTGATTTCCCTCCCTCCCTCCATTCTCCAATAATAACAAAAAGGCCATCACAGCACATTTCCTTTTAAAGTTTTATTAAAGTTTAATGAACAATTAATATTTTATCTTTTTGGGGGGATTAACCCCAGTACAAAAATATCATTGATGATTTGACAAAAATGGCTCCACCTAGGGCTTGAAGGTTTGAGTTTCTCCAACAGTAATAAGGGAAAGCATGCTTCCAGCTGGGGCTCAGTCCAAGCACATAGTCATTCCTGCACACGCATGCATGCTAACAGCCTGAGCAGGAAAAGAGGAAGGAGGATGCAGGGATTCAGGAAGAAGCCCAAGATTATTCCCAGGAGAAAAAGACAAAAAAACAGGCTGGTCTCCTTGACAGGGGATAGAATTACTGATTTACATTTAGGATTTACTGTTTTCTTAAAAATTGCTATTCCGGCCATTTTAACATTGTAGAAAAGATGCTACTAGTCTCTTTCACCACTAAGGTAAGTAAAGCAGGAGGAAATGGGAAAAGACTCAAAATACTGAAGTGTAAGTGAGGTATTAACCTCCAAGTGGCTCAAGTTCTGTGTCAGGTTTCATTCTTTACATTCAAAGACAGATGGACACTTAGGTGACAGGGAGCAAAAGAAGCAAGTCTGCCACACTGCTGGATCCACAAACAATCAGACCAGCTTCTTTTAACAGATCTCTTCCACAGTGAGAGAGCTCCTTCCAGTGTAGGAAGAAAAAAGGTTTCCTGGTCAGTTTAATTGTTTTGGGCAATTCCTCAATATTCCCTCCTCTGCTGCTTTCCTTCCAGAACACTATTTTTAATGAAGGAAGGGATATATCTGTGTTACAATTCATCTTCAAGATGTTTTTCTCTGAAGGCATCACCTGTCAGTCTTTCCTGAGCTTCCTTCATCCCCTGAACAACTGTGAAATAAAGAGGGAAAAATATGAAACACAACTTAATATCTGATATTTGAACACAATATAGATTCTTAAATGTTTTAGGAGAAATATTTAAGAACACAACTTCTGTACTCAACATCTAGTTTTAAATTTTAGTCCTAGCATATCATTCTTTGAATCTGTTTCCTTGTTTATAAAATGATATAATCCCACTTATTTCTACACATATTTTAAAAAGTGGATGATAGAAGTGCTTCATAAATTACAAAGTCCTACAAAAATGTTAGCAGTTACCCTGGCTTACCCTCTAAGATTAGAGTTGATTTCCTCTATGTTCACTTGATAATAAGGAGGAGAGAAGAGAACACCTTCCTACCATCCCCATTGTTTTTTGGATGACTGTTGCATTTATTTCATTCCCTGTAGAAGTTACAGGTTATACTGATGATGGAGTGTATGTATGCATATATGCATTCTGAGGGAATGGTCTCCATTGAAGCATGTAGTCATTTCTACTATCAACTATACATGAAAGGAGCCAAGTTTTCAGGCAAAATAAAAGAGAAACCTAGAAGGAAGGCCTCAGGCAGACAGGAGATGAAATTTCTTATATATCTCAGGGCCTCTCTCCTATGGATTTGCACTTCAAGAAGGGCAATGATTTCAATATAGGCCTATGAGTGGTGGTTCTACAATAACACCCCTACACAACACAGGCTGGAAACTAGGTTGAGCCAGAGTCTGTAAATCTTGGAAAGCACACCCATTAGCTCCTAATATAGTGATATTTTCCTTTTGTCTTGCCTGTGTCTCTAGTTAAGACAGGTTTGAATGTTCCAGTTTCATGTCAGCTGCGCCACCAGGAACTCAGGGAAGAGTCTTGTGTTCACACTGGACTATGCCAGTGTGGAGAGGGGAGTGGTAACTTGGATAAAATTCTAAGAGAAGGCAAATCTCGAAGGACAAGAGTTTAGGACCTAAAACTCAGCTGCCACTCTCTTGTGTGGAAAATCTCCTTCTAACACCAATCTCTTAAGATCTTCATTTGGTTAAAGAATATGCTACTCTCCTTAACCAGAAAAGGTGATGACAATATTTCCACATCTCTTCCCCTTTCCTATTCTGAGAATAAGAGTTTCAAGGACTCAAAAACAAAGTGATCCTCAACCTGGCAGTTTGACAATTGGGGACACGTGGCAACTTGGTAAACAATTCTTTTATAGATCAGGAAGACTAAGGGAGGAAAACAGTAACAAAACATGGCATGAAATCCAACCCTTCCCCTAAGATGACTGCGTGCCAGAATTAGAGATCAAAAAAGCCTAACTGAAATTATTTCAACCTTCCTTTGCCTATCTGTACTGATGCCACTCTGTCTGGAACATGCTTTTCCCATTCTTTTGCTGTGTCTCATTCTTCAGGACTTAATCCACTCACAATTTCCTCTAGCAAACCTTACAAACGCTCCGTGTTGGGCGATATCCCCCTCATACATCATTTCCATAGTTTGAAATGTCCTCCTGTTGTCTCTAGGGAAGGGTCCATGTTATCTTTCTCCTGTATCCTATAAAGGATCTGGCCAAAAGCTAGGCATGCAGGAGTTGCTTGGCTAACAGGTTAGATTAAGTTCCTATCACAGACCTTGCCCATTATGGCTCATCCTAGTTAAATCTAGCAGCAATCCTCCCCAATTTCTCAAGCAAAACAGTACCTTGCTCAGCATTGATGTAGAAATACTTGTAGCTGGGGTTTCCATTCTCATTGATGATTTCAGGATGCACCTTGCCACTAGGATCTATTGTAGAAAAAAGGGCACAGGGATTGCAATAATTTTAACATATAATACACTAGGCCCTCCAGGAAATAAAACCTCCCCATGTTTGCCCATTATCTCACTGCCCTATCCCTAACATTTCATGCTGTAACCACAATGAATTCCTTGCAATTCCCTGAACAATGCCCACCACCTTGTCCCATGCCTTGGCACATGCTGTTTCATCTTTCTAGCACGTTTTTTTTTCTGCTTGGTAATGATGAGGCCAACATTTTTATTTGTATCCCCCATAGAATCCAGCCAAATATAAAGCCAAGATTAGGTGGTCACTAACTATCTCTTATAAAACTGTTTGTGGAAAGACATTTGCTTGGTTGTATTATTCTGTTGCCTCAGATGCACCATAGGGTCAGGAATGGGAATTGTGGCTTATCCTTGGCCCTGCAGTGTCACACACGGTGTCTGACATGGCTAATGCTCAAAATGACTGTTGAATGAATAAATGGAAGATCAAACTCCTCTCATTGCTCATAAAAGCAGTTATTGGAAAAAGTTTCCCCACAAACCTGCAGGTTTGGATTTCAGAACTCTCTCTCTTTTGTTTTTTTTGTACCGGGGATTGAACTCAGGGGCACTCAAACACTGAGCCGCATCCCCAGCCCTATTTTGTATTTTATTAAGAGACAGGGTCTCACTGAGTTGCTTAAGGCTTCACTTTTGCTGAGGCTGGCTTTGAACTCACGATCCTCCTGCCTCAGCTTCCCAAGCCTCTGGGATTCAGTATGTGCCACTGTGCCTGGCCAGAACTCCCCCCACTCCCTTTTTTTTTAGTTGTAATTGGACACAATATCTTTATTTTTATGCAGTGCTGAGGATTGAACCCAGTGCCTCACATGTGAGAGGCGAGCACTCTACCACTGAGCCCCAGCCCCAGCCCTGGAACTCCCCTCTCTTAAAACTGGTTTTTATTTGTTCTTGGACATCCCAGTATAGTTTCACAACTATATATATACTTCGGTCTCTTGCATCATTTCTCTATCTACATCATGAATCTCCCAATTAAAAATTTTTGCCTTAGCAGAATACAACAGACACTAGTATGGCAATATGTAAATCAATGGATGTGTAACTGATGTGATTCTGCAATCTGTATATGGGGTAAAAATGGGAGCTCATAACCCACTTGAATCAAATTGTGAAATATGATATATCAAGAACTATGTAATGTTTTGAACAGCCAACAATAAAAAATTAAAAAAAAAAAATAGCTGAAACACAATTAAAAAAAAAAAAAAAAAGAATAGACATTCAAATATATATATTTTTTTGTCAGTGTGGTTTTCTTTCAGCAATAAAATACATCATAAATAAAAAAAAAAAAAAAAAAAAAATTTTTGCCTTACCCAAGAAAAGAATTCGTGGAATATAACCCCCATCAGGGCTGAAATCTTCATCCTTGGGTTCTTCTTCATCCTATTAAGAATAAATGTAAACCTTACATCAGATCATGTCCTCCCTCTCCTCAAGGACCTTCAGATTCCTCTCTTGTTCAGGACTGCAAGGCCCTACATGATCTGCCCTTGGGACACTTCTCAAACTTCATGTTCTACCCTGTTAAGACTTCTTCAGCCCCATTAATCTGCTTTTTGTTGGTGTCATTCAGCAAACCAGATATGCTCCTAATTCAGGCTTTTGGACTTGCTCTTTCCCTATGTCTAAACATACTTCCTGTGTCATCAGAAGCTCACTCCTATTTCTGCTTCTAATTTTTACTCAAATGTTGCCTTTTCTTCCACTTACCTAGAATTGCAAGCCATCTTCTCCTTTATTTTTGGCGGTAGCATTTACCACAGACTGACATATTCTACTTGTTTATCTCCCCACTCTACACTGTAACTGCTTTGAAGAGTTACATAAGCATCTGGGCTATACATTAACTATATAAGCAACTCCTCTTGCTGTCTCAACCTTAAGTGTTAATGTGTTCAGAAGATTTTTAATCCTATGGTTAAACATTATCTTTACAGAAACTTTTGGAAAGAAGTATCATCACAGAGTATCCAAGTAACTTCACATTTGGAGAGTATGATCTAAAAGGAAACACGGCTAGGTTACAGTACCTACTTCTTTAATTTACTAGATTCTATGATTTTGACCAAATCACATACCTTCTTCAGGTCTAAGATGTCCTTTTTGTAAAATGGGAATAATACCAATGGCCTAAAAATTTCTTCCAAGTCTAAGATCTGATATTCTCTGACTCAGGATTCCTGAAGTCTATATGAAGTACATAAAAGATGTCTCATGAGGAAATAGGAAGACTGTACATAAAAGTCCAATTCTAAGCAGGTGCTCAAATGAGTAAACTTTGCAGGGTGTTGTAATCTTCATATGTGATTACATTTTTTAGTCTAAGTATAAAATTCAGTCATCTTTTTTTTTTAAAAAATATTTATTATTTTTAGTTTTCGGCGGACACAACATCTTTGTTTGTATGTGGTGCTGAGGATCGAACCCGGGCCGCACACATGCCAGGCGAGTGCGCTACCACTTGAGCCACATCCCCAGCCCTAAAATTCAGTCATCTTATTCAAGCTCTCCTCTCTACTTCCTCCCCAAATTAGATACTAACACATCTGATGTAAGCCTTAGTATGAGAAATCAAGATAAAAACAAACATAGGATAATCAACTCTATATTCAACATGACTTTATACTCTTACTGTTATTAAATCCAAAACAATAAAGTCTTAAAATCATAGCACAAAAGGAAAAATTCTTTAAGGCTTACCTCAAGATTTACCATAACAAAATTATGGGAAAGTTCAGAAATTTCTGTAGATTCTGCAAATTTGGGCTTTAAAGCTAGAAGGGGAAAAACGATTTTGAGTACAAGAAACATCATACCCAAACCCCAATGAGCCTAAGCATCACTTATTCTCCTTGGTAGTTCATGCATTTGCTGATTCATATAAATTAAACCTTCTTTTTCTTCCCTCCAAAACCAGAACTACTGGAGCACCTAGATGCTGGTGCTGCTTCTGTCACTTATTTGCATAGCTGTGGCCTTGAGTGAATTACTTCATTTCTCTGAAGCTTTTATCTCACTTATAGAGTACGGATAATGATACACAAATAGCAAGAGGAAGCATCACTATTTGCTTTTATGGTTCAGTACAACAACTATTAAAAGAGTAATAAGGTAACAACACTTTGCCACTAAATATGTGTGTGTACACACATTATACAATTATTTATGCTAATTTTACATTCCTTTCCTAACTAATATTTTAACTGTAGAATACCAAATTAAGAATAAAACCTGATTGGGAAAGGAGCAGGGTAGTATAGCAGAAAGAATTACATGCCACAAAATCATATAACCTTGGTTTGATTCTTATCTTCCTTAACCAGACAACTTCCTTAACCATGTACAGCTTCCTCTAATATTTATTGCCACATGCCATTTTAGCACTTAATTCCATTTTCTACATAACTGTTGCTGCTGTTTTTCTTTTTTTGCAGTGCTGGGGTTGTACTCCACCACTGACCTACATCCCCAGTCCTTTTTATTTTTTGAGACAGGGTCTCACCAATTTGCTGAGATTGGCCTTGAAATCGCAATACTCCTGCTTTGGCCTCCTGAGTAGCTGGGATTCTGCAATACCACCCCTGGCTTATATAACTGTACTTTAATCACCTCAAGCTTCCTAAAGCCCCCTGTAGATATATAATTACAAATTTCATGAAGGAAATCTACATCATATATTTCTTTGGTGTTCCTTAAAGCAACCACAGTGCTGTGTAGAATCAGTGATAACATTTATTAAATGTTAACTTTGACAACACTTCTAAGATCCGTTTTTAGATTGAGAGCATTTACTGACCTTTGCAAGCTCCACACCAAGACTTATGGATAATCACCATAATAGGCAATCCACTTAAAAACAAAACAAAGAAATTATAATCTAGTAATTGTACTTCCTCAAAGTATTCTAATAAAATAACCAATTTATGGAGATAAAGATGTTTCTGTAGTATGATTTCAATTGGTAAAATAATAAGACAATCTAAATATTCAATAGTAATAGATTTTGATAGCAAAATATTTATAAATTCTGATATTCCTGTAAATTCTGCAGATTTGGCCTATAAAGCTAGATAGAAAGACTGGAATGGAAGAAAACATCCAATTACATTATTTTAAAGGTTCCAGTAATTCTAAATTATCATCATGAAAAATAATCATTAAAAATGTAAATGAAAATTTTTGTTGGCACGTTAAAAACTAAGATATAAAATTTCTTTTTTAAAAAATATTTTTTAGTTATACATGGACCCAATATCTTTATTTTGTTTATTCATTTTTATGTGGTGCTGAGGATTGAACCCAGTGCCTCACATGTGCGAGGCAAGCGCTCTGCCACTGAGCCACAACCCCAGCCCTCTTTTTTAAAATATTTTATTTTTTTAGTTTTCAGTGGACACAACATCTTTATTTTTTTATTTTTATGTGGTGCTGAGGAACAAACCCAGTGCCCCAGGCATACCAGGCGAGTGCATTACCGCTTGAGCCACACTCCCCAGCCCAAGATATAAAATTTCAATACGGTTTTAGTCAACTATACAGCCCCAAAAGAAATGTATCAAAACATAATCTTGGGCTGGGGATGTGGCTCAAGCGGTAGCGCACTCGCCTGGCATGCGTGCGGCCCGCGTTCGATCCTTAGCACCACATACAAACAAAGATGTTGTGTCCGCCAAAAACTAAAAAAAATAAATATTAAAATTCTCTTTCTAAAAAAAAAAAAAAAAAAACCATAATCTATAGATGAGACAGTGGATTTTTTTCTTACATTTGTGTATTTTTTCAATTTTCTTAAAATTAAACATTTTTTTAAATCAGTGATGAAGAGTGTTTTTTTTTAAATTATAAGCAACATAATCTACCTGAACCAGATTGGTTAAATGAAGCTCTTAAAAGTTTTCAGTTCAAATGTTAAATATGAGGGCCCTATATAGGCAGGCATTAGCTTACTTCATCACACAGCCTGTTATCACCATACCACCATAATACTATACAAGGTATAATAGCTATAACTGTATTTACCATATCGAACTCCATTGCACTAAGGAATTATTGATAACAAACACTTCTACAACATTTACTTATGCCAATAAATATTATCTAAATATACACAAATTAGCTCATTTAGTGATAAATGAGTTACTCAATTACCTCACCTTACGCCATTATAAACCTATAGAGACGTGTGCCTCTAGTACTTGTAAAGACTTAAAATCATATAAGAAGGGCAAGTTTAAGTGGGTAGTGGGATGTAGCTAACCATAATAGCCAAAACATGCTAAACGTTTACTAGATGACATTGTACAATGTGCTGTACGTTCATTACCTCATTTAAATCCTCAAAACAACTCAAGGGTAATACTTTCAATGGTCTCATAATATGAGAAAACTGAGACTCCCAAGAGATCAAATAGCCAGCCCATCTAACCCATGTTTTAAAGCTCCATTCACTTTCAGAGCATGAACATTCTAGAATGTCTTGCTCCCCCTTTTCTCTCTGGCAAACTCCTTTGCAAAGCCTTTCCCAAACTGCCTAGTCTTTCTCTTCTCTGGGATCCTAAAGCATTTGTCATCATCTGACCACCAGTCTTTTTCATCCCATTATCACCTATCTGTATTTCTCACAAACTTTTCAAGGGCAAAGACAGACTAGTTAGTCTTTGAAAAATCACAGGTACTGGGGCTGGGATTGTGGCTCAGTGGTAGAGCGCTCATCTAGCATGCATGGGGACCTGGGTTCGATCCTCAGCACCACATAAAAATAAATAAATGGAATAAAGGTATTATGTCCAACTATAAAGGTATTGTGTCCATCTACAACTAAAAAATAAATGTGATAATTTATTATCACAGTTATAGTACTTAAATTTGTTCTAAGAAACCAACAAAAGAATGAAAGAAAGGCTAATGTGATACATATCTTAAAATACAGAATAAAGCACAACAGTCATTAACGTGCCATAATACAGTCACTTTAGGGTGGCCAAACAATCTAATCTTTTACTGAGCATTATAAAAATACAATTTCAGGACTGAGGTTGTGGCTCAGCGGTAGAGCACTCGCGAAGCACAGGTGGGGCCCTGGGTTCGATCCCCTACACCACATAAAAATAAAGATATTGTGTCCAACTACAACTAAAAAATATATATATAATTTCAGGGCTGGGGTCGTGGTTCAGTGGTGGAGCACTTGCCTAGCACATGCAGGGCCCTGGGTTCGATCTTCAGCACCACATATAAAGAAATAAAATAAAGGTATTTTGTCAAACTATGGCTAAAAAATATTTTTTTTAAAATAAGAGTTCAGCCAAAGATATAACAATAATGCGTGTTTATATACAATATTACACTAGATTACATGAAAAACATTTAGTTACATTAAATGAGAGAGACTCGAGCAGACTCACTACTTTTAAAATATTTTATTGGAGGAAATAACCTAGTGGTTATGTCTTTCGCTTTCACAAAATCAAAGATACTTAATGACCGAAAACAAGGGGTTTATCAGTAAACTCAGTCCCAGGAAAAAGAAACTAGCAAAAATCAGGTACTCAGAAAAGATTTGTGATATGAAAGACTGGCCAGCACAGAGTCCAGAACTGTTCACAACTGTTTTAAAACAATTCTTATCCATCCAGTCTCTTCACCCACTATTCAAATGGGAAGAGTCAATGGTGTGTGATATACCAATCCAATCTAAGCAATCCCTGACCACTTGAGCTGTCTTCTATGGAGAAATTTGCCAGGATTCTCTCTAGTCTCAAACTTATGCTGTAAACTCAGGGCCTGGCACAGGGGCAGTCAGGAAAGTTGGAACAAATCAGTAAATTCAGCAGCTCCACTAATATAACACGCTTTGCAGACCTTCAGACTATTCTTCCTAGAGAAGAACAGTGGAAGCCACGGATTCCCCCTACCGCTCTGATTAGTGCAAGCTCTGTCCCAGATACTGAATAAACATATTGGCCAGTTGATGCAGATTCTCATTGTTGGGATGCATTTTAGTATAGGAAATAAACTGGCGACGAAGGCGACTCAGTTCTGCCATGGTCAGGGGCCGAGTGAATTTTAGGTGCTCGGTGGTGCCTGGAAGTGTTAGCAAGTCCCCAGGCACAGCGCACTTCTGCGCTTCCATCAGTCTGGCCAACACCTGGCTTGTGACCTGATCCAACTGGTGTAGAAAGCTGCCGGAGGCAAGGGGCTGGGATTGTGTAGACTGATGTGGTGGGGGAGCCCGGTTCTCAAACAGGGCAGCCCGGATCTCCGCCACAGGTAATGCCTCTTCTAAGCCCACCACAGTAAACAAAGGCCGATCCCAACGGTTCCGAGAGTCAGGAGTCTCAAAGCGCAGTGTTAGAGCCTGCATTAATTCAAGAGGGTAAAAGGCACTGGTCACATGCTTCACAGATTTCTCAGGCTCCGCAATCACTACAGCTGAAGAATCTGATGCTTCGGCTTCTTCCGGCTCCAATTCCCTAGGTCCGTGGGCCCCGGTTCTCCCATTTACTATAGAAGCCGGTTCGGTGACAGTACTGATGTCTGCAGGCTCAGATTTCCCGCCCTCCTCAGCGCGCGGCCTCCAACTCACACTAACTTTCGGGCCCGGGTTCTCTTCCGCGCCAGTCACCTGAGGTCCTCGGCTGGCACCTCCTGGCCTCACGCAATAAACCAGGCAAAGCGGCGTGCGCGCTGCCCGCGCTAAGCAGTAGAGCTCGTAGCGGAAGCCTTTGATGTAGTTAAGCGAGTCCAGGATGACCACGTCTTGGCGACTCAGGCGCCGTTCCACGGCGGCTCGCAGGGCCCCACGCAAAGCCTTCTCACGGGCAGAATCGCCGTACACGGTCGCGTCCTCCGCGCCTAGCACCGAAGCGTCATCCACCACGTATACCGTGTGGCCCTCAGCCGCCAATGCCCAGCGAAGCTCTTCTGCACGGCGGCTCTTGCCGCTGTACGGCAGCCCGCAAAACACCACAAGCGGCATGCTACCAGGGAGCGGCCATCTGCAAACTCGTCGCGCCAACTTCCGGGTTGCCTACGTCACGGATTTTAACCGGAAGTACAAACGGGTTTGCACTTCCTGTTTTACGGACTGGCAAGACTTCTTGTTTCTATAGAAACAGGGGCTCTAAATCAATTAGGTCCAGGTCCAGCTTACTAGAAAGGAGATGCAGAGACTAGAATGACATCGGTTATTCATGCTAAAAGTTACAGACTTCCGGAGAATGTGATCTCCCTGGGTCGAAGACTGAGCCCGCCTATTTATTTATTAGTTGTAGATGGACAAATACCTTTATTTTGTTTGTTTATTTTTATGTGGTGCTGAGGATAGAACCCAACATGCTAGGCAAGCGCTCTATGGCTGAGCCACAACCTCAGCCCCCATTTATTTATTAATGAGCATTAAATACTGCAAAACTGCTAACACTTATATTTAGCATACATAAGGCAATTGATAATACTTGTTTTGCTCATGTGTGCACTCACACCTACTGGCACTCAGTAAATGTTTATTCAATAATCATTTTAATTATACAACATCTCCAAGGCTGGGGATTTAGAGATGAAAATAAAAGAGTGCCCCTGCAGGAGATCAAGTGTCTGAATAGGAAGAATCAAGCACCTACATTCAGAGTAATAAATGCTATAATGGGTGGGTATAGGTTGGGTTATAAAAGAACAAAAGAGAACATCTGCCCAGAGAAATCATTAAAGACTTTAAGAACTTGAAATTTTTCTCCTGAGCAGAGATGACAGATATAATACAGGATGTCCAGTTAAACTTGAATTTCAGATAAACAAAAAACTTTTTACAGTTGTATAAGTATGTCCAAAAATTGCATGGACCTATTTAATATTATTTATTGTTTGTCTAAAATTCAAACTTAATTGTGTATCCTTTGTTTTTATTTGCTAAATCTGGCAACTCTGCTGCAGAAGATTTGACACTCAGAGCCTGGAATCTGTAGATTTGTTCTAGGAGCAGGAAACACTATAGTTTAGTAGATCTAGAAATGTGAGTTTGTATATCTGAAATTATGAGTGTGTATAATATAGGAACACATAATGGAGTGGAGTAGATCTTTGTATGGCTCCAGTACACTGTAGAAGAGAAAATGCAAGTCTTGGCTTTTCCACTTATTAGTAGTTTACAGCAAGTTATTTCATTTTTCTGCATTTTAATTTCCTTTTCTATAAAATGATAATTTATTTCATAGGTGTATCAACTCAGAGATTGTAAAGATTAAATAAATCAATGCCTATAAAATAGTGCTTAGACTTCCCTCCCCTGACCTGCCTTTTCTTCCTCATGGTCGGAGTTGTGTGCGCATAAACTAAACCCACTTGGACTAGGAGACTACTTGAGTCTAGTAGGCAGTATGGTATTTTGGTTGAGAGTACAGGCCCTGAAGGAAGTGCCTGGGTCGGAATCAAGGCTCTGCTACTTACTAGCTGTGTGATCTTGGGTAAATTACTTAATTGCTCTATGCCTCAGTTTTCTTATCTCTAAAAAGAAGGTAACAAAAAGTACCCCCTCATAGAGTTGTTGTGAGGATCAAGTGAATTAATTCATATAATTTAATATCTGTATATACTAAGCACTTAGTAAGGATTAGCTAGTAGTATTGTTGTTATTATGAGGCAATTATGCAGTTCTTGCTCTGCCTTGGCATAGCCCTTCATCTGAAATTAATGCTATGTTGAAGATTAGAAAGAGTCTTACCACCGTAAATAATCTAAAGCATATTTTGTACCTGGCTGCTGCTTCTCTCTTCCCATCTTCTAGTGTTCTCCAGTGAATATGATCCCCAAAACCTGGAACAAATAAGGCTTATAAACATTCACACAATGAATAAAGGACACAGACCTAAAAAAGTAGTGTGGCATGTTCATGAGATACCCACAAAAAGGCTTTCCTCTATTAATAGCCTGTGTTGAAGACCCAGCTTCCCTGATAGAAATGAGAGACCATGAATAGTCCCCTATCCCAAGCCTCAGTTTTCATATCTATAAGATGGAAATAACACCACCCAATCAATAGCTTTTAAGGAAATTAAAAAATGAAATGAAATGCTTTGTAAACTATCACAGAGTATGCCAGTAATACTGTAAGAATGAATGAGCAGGGCGCGCACGCCTGCAATCCCAGCAGCTTGGGAGGCTGAGGCAGGAGGAGAACTGCGAGTTCAAAGCCAGCCTCAGCAATGGTGAGGTGCTAAGCAACTCAGTGAGACCCTGGCTCTAAATAAAATACAAAATAGGGCTGGGGATGTGGCTCAGTGGTTAAGTGCCCCCAAGTTCAATCCCCAGTACCAAAAAAAAAAAGCAAAACTAGAAAAAGAATCCATGAATGAGAATTTTCCATACAGTAAACATAAAGTAGGTCATAACAAATCATAACTAGTTGAAGGTGACATAGCAATACAACTTAGAGTCAGAAGGACATGGGACTCCACTTCCCAGTAAGTGTGTGAATTTTTATGAGTGAAGTAAGCTTTCTAAGCCTCAATTTCCATATCTGAAAAATCAAGACAATAATACATACTTCAGAATGTTGGATGTAAGGACTAAAAAAGGTAATGCATTTTAAGTGATTGTTGTTAGTATTCCCACAATTTAGCAAGAGTGATCTTTTTCAATCACATCACTGACAGATAAGAAGACTTTCATAGGCTTTCCAGAGCCCTAAAGATAAAGGTCCAAGGCTGGAAGCAGAAGATTTGAGAATATGGCATCTGCCCACCTCTCCAGTCATTTTCCACACTTTTCCTAAAACCCCATACACAGAAATACTTTTACTTCTTTAAATGCAGCATGTGGGTTGGGGATGTGACTCATAGGCAGAGCAATTGCCTAGCATTTTCAAGGCCCTGTGTTGACTCCCTAGCATTACAGAACCAACCAACCAAACAAACAAACATACATACATACATACATACATACATAAATAAATAAATAAATGCAGCAGGCACTCTCTTCCCTTCAGTATTTCATAATCACTTTACCTCTGCCTTTTCTCCCAGCCTGCCCTCCAGTCTTCAGGTGTAATAAGAGGACAATACTTACAAATCTCCCCTAACTCCCAAACCAGCCTCTTCTCCTCCCATTGCAGCACTTCCCAGACTGAATTGTAAATATTTATGTATCCATCTCCCTCTCTCCAAGGGGAGCTCCCTGAGTGCCTATATCTGTTTCATTCCCATTTCCCTAATATTTAACAGTACACATGAATATAGCAAGTTCTCTATAAAATACACATGAATATACAAGTGCTCTATAAAATAGTTATTGAATAAACAAATCTTATCTAGGCCAAAACACATAAAAGTCTTAATTTTTATATCCAGAAAATGTTAGTGATCCTAAAATGCTGTTATTTATTAATCAGTTTATTTGTGACCAGCATACTACATGTGCTAACTCATTTAAATTTGGCCTTAACAATAACCCACTTTACTTCCCTACATTTCAGTTTTCTCGTCATTAAAATAGGCATAAGTGGGCTTGAGAATGAACGTAGCTCAGTGTTAGAGCACTTTCGTAGCCTGTGTGAGGTCCTGGGTTTAATCCTCAGCACTGGGGTAGGGGGTTGGGAAGAAGCATAATAGTTTTGTCTTATCAGATCACTACCAAATATTAAATAAGAAATATAAAATCTCAACACAGTATTGAACATATTGTACAATCAGTAGGTAGTAGTTTTTGCTATTCTTTACATAAAGTTGAGACTTCTTTTTTTTTAAATACATTCAAAATACATTTATTTATTTATGTGGTGCTAAGAATCGAACCCAGTGCCTCACACATGCTAGGCAAGTGCTCTACCACCAGGCCACAATCCCAGCCCTAAAATTGAGACTTCTAAGGCTCAGAAGTTATCATCAGCTGTTATTAGATCACATTGCTACTCAATGGCCAATCTGAGATTTAACCTTCAGTCTTCTGCCTTTTCAGCTGCTAAATCTGTCTTCCAGATCATTCTTTCCCAGAAATAAATTCAAATCTAATTTTCATCTGTGCTACCTCAAGGGAATAAAAATTCATCCAGATTAGCACATGGAGGCAGTATTCAAATTTACCATCATCACTTTTCATTCCCAACAGCATGGGCTGCTGGCCAAGAGAAAATATCACTTGCCTAGGGCCCAAAGTTTGATCCTGAAGAGCAAATGACTGAGTGAAATTGGGAGGATGCCCAGGAGAACTGGAAGGTGTCTAATGTGATCACCATCATTCTACCTACAATACCTAAACTAAGATGACTGAATCCTGCTTCAGCATAGTGCCCAACCAACCAACCTGAAAGAATATCCTGCTACAAAAAAGTTTAATCATACATAAACAGACTTTCAGAATGGATTCACTGTAATAATGGAAATCCCACCACAAACACAAACTAAGCTAAAAATCAGATGAGAAACAGTGAACAACCAGTAAATGGTAAGGCTGCCCTGAAAGTAAATATTCATTATAACATGGCAAATGGAGAATCTGAGACTCCCATATTAACCCAATTCTCAAAAAATATGGCTAGAGTGATTCCCATCATTAGTACTCTCTGGTAGATGAATCAAATGCCGAACCTTTCTGGAGGGAAGCATTCCCTACTTTATCCTCTAGGACAATCAACATTTTATTAAAAAAAAAAAAATAGCCATTATGGGCTCACAATCATAGATCAATAAAGATATAAGAAAAAAAGTCAACATAAGTAAGAATAGAAGCAAGAGTGACACTTTGAAGACTTCAGCTATCAGGATTATCAGCCACAAAATACAAAAATAGGAATATATGAAATGTTAGAGAAATACATGGAATCACAGAAACAGGCATGCACAAACACACATACACACACATAAATAGACAAATTTGTGATGGTACCAAAATCTGTAGAAATAACCCAAAGGCTACATACTATATAATTCCAATTAAATAACATTCTGTAAGAGTCAAAACTATGAAAATAACAAAAAGATTAGGGTTGTCAGGGTTCATTCTCTCATGGGGGAGAGGAAAAAACAATAAGTGGAGCATAGGATATTTTTTAGTGATTTTAAACTATTCTATGTGATACTGTAATGTCAGATACATGTTATTATGGCCTGAATTATGCACCCCGAAAATAATTCATATGTTTACATTCTAACCTCCTGTACTTTAGAATGACTGTTTTTGAAGAAACAGTTTTAAAAGAGGTGATTAAGTTAAAATGAGATCATTAGGATGGGCTCCAGCTCTAATTCTTATAAGAAGAGATTAGGACACAGATGTAAACTGGAGGAAGATCATGTGAAAACACAGAGAAGACAGTCATCTGCAAGAAGAAATCAACCCTACTGACACCTTGACCTTGGACTTGTACTCTTCAGAACCCTTAAGAAAATAAAGTTCTGTTGTTTAAGCCACCTAGTTTGTACAAAACAGCCAGGCATGGTGGTGCACATCCTAATCCCAGAGACTCAGGAGGCTGACACAAAAGTATTGCAAGTTCAAGGCCAGCCTCTGTAATTTAGAGAGACCCTGTCTCAAAAAATAAAAAAGAGGTATAGATGTAGCTCAGTGGTATAGCACCCTAGGTTCAATCCCTAGTACTGCAACAAAACAAAACCCACAGAACATACAATAGCAAGAGTGGACCCTAATGTAAACTGGGGATTTTAGTTAATAATAATCTATATTGGATTATCAGCTGTAAAAAATGTACCATATTAACACAAAATGTTGACAAGGAAAGATGGGGAGAAAGAGGAGAAAGGGCATATGTGGGTATGTTCTGCTCAGTTTTCTGCAGACATAAAATTGCTTGAAAAATAAAGTCTACCAATTTTTCAAAAAATATAATGGATAGAGTAAAACGCAAATTAGAGACAGGTGGAAAGATATATTAGAAGTTATCCAGGATGCAGACCAGAGCCATGAAAACAGACAAGTTAAGAGAGGCCAAGAGGGCTGGGGATGTGGCTCGCCTGGCATGCATGCGGCCCAGGTTCGATCCTCAGCACCACATACAAACAAAGATGTTGTGTCTGCCAAAAACTAAAAAAAAATAAACATTAAAAAAAAATTCTCTCTCTCTCTCTCTCAAAAAAAAAGAGAGGCCAAGAATACAGAGATTGATTTAAGTCTAGCATACACAATTATTTAAGGTGGTGAAACTGTAGAATGACAAAACCATTGAGTGAGAAGATATTAAAAACAGTCAAAGAGAGCCAGGCTTTGTGGCGCATGCCTGCAATCCCAGCAGCTCGATAGGCTGAGGCAAAAGGATCACATATTCGAGGCCAGCCTCAGCAATTTAGTGAGACCCTGTCTCAAAAAATAAAAAGCACCACTGGGTTAAATCTCTAGTACCTAAATAAACAACAGAAAAATGACATATTTCCTACAAAAGATCAATAATTATGCTATTATACTGATAGGAACAATATAAATCAAAAGAGAGCAGAGTATCATCTTGAAATGCTAAAAGAAAATAACTAAACCTAGAATTATATACTCTAAAAAAATTATCTTTCAAGCATAAGGACAAAGCAGACATGTTTAGATAAACTGCAAGGTTTTTTCCCCCCCACCACCATCAGGTATTCACCACTCATTATTATTTCAATAAATAAGTATTTATTCAACAGGATCATATAATAGTCAAGAGCATGGACTCTGTATCCTGACTTTTGGGTTTGTATCTTGGCTTTGCTGCTTACTAGTCATATGACTTTGGGTATGTTAGGTAATTTTCCCACACTATAAAATGTTTCCTCAGCTATGATAGCTTAGAATAGTAATATTAATTACTACAAGTATTTGCTATTGATATA